TAAAAACTAAAGGATATCAAATGAACAAAAAATGAAGATAATTTACTAATTTGTACAGGATTTATAGGGAGACTTAGTGAAAATAGCACTACAAACTATAAATTAGAAAATAATCAAATAATTACATTATTAGGACAAAAACGTATAAAAGCTATCCCAGCAAAGAAATTCTCTTCAGAAACCAATGTAGGATTAGATTGGAATTTGGGGAATTTTCTAGAAAAATCGATATTAGTACCAGAAGATAATATCATGTATAAAAAATAGTAATGAAACTCTAAGTATTAGATTTGGAAATTATAATTATCAAGTGGAACAAACAAAAGATGACGAAGAAGAAGAAGGAAGAGAATGTGCATATTTTGAAATAGAAGACTATGAAAATGAAGACGAGATTAATGCATTAAGTGAAGATAGTAAAGATGACGAAAGTGAAGATGGTGAAAAAGAATTTGGATATATAGATATGGAATATTATAGAAATCTTAGAAAAGATAGAGAAATAGAAATTAGAATGTCAACAGAAAAATATCAAGTAAATATAGAAATTAAGATGGAAGAAGCAAGTAAAGGAACTAAAACTGAAACGGACCAAGAATTTGGAAAAAGAAAAGAATCCATGAACACGGAATATGATATAGGAGGTAAATACCATTTTCCATCTGCTAGAGAATATGAATGGGAAGATAGAAGATACAGAAGCCCAGGAAGAAGACAGATAGAAGAAGGATGTAGTCTACCATTAGCAAGTGATAGATGATTATTTTAGAGTTAAACAATTGTAAACCTCAAGATAGACCTAGCACTATAACTAAATGGAAAAATTCTGTAATAAGAGCATATAATAGTGTTACCTATACAAATGACTGTAGAAGAAATATAGGCTTATTTAGAAACTTATTTAGGAAAAACAGCATTATATATATAATGAAATCAGGTTAAGAATGGCTGGAGGAGATAAAGCTAGAAATTTTTATTAGAGAATTAATTATAGAATCTGATCCTAGCAGAGACAACACTTATGAACAAAATAAAGACTTAGAAGATTTACAAAAATTAAGCCTTAATAATATGAACTATATACAACTATTTTTATTGGACTTTGAAATATTAGCAAGTACAACAGGATTAGCATTGGATGTACCTATACTTGAAAAATTATATAGAAAGATACCACCTCCATCGAATGATAAAATTAGAAAAGATTTAGAATTAAGACCAACGTGAGAAGTAACTATTAACACTACCATAAAATTTATAACAGATAAACTAAAAGAATATTGTATAGAAGAGATAGCTAGAAATCAAATAAAGAAATTAAATTATTCTTTTTGCTCAGATTTATATACACCACAGACCATAATCATAGAAGGAGAAAGAAAAAAAATTATATAAAAATGATAAAAAAATTTAAATATAGAAAACAATATCAAGATAGAAATATAATATTAGACCAAGTAGAACATATTACAAGAATAAAAGAACTAACTATAATAGATACGTTAGAAAATCAAAAACTAAAAAGGATTGTAAATGTTATATTTGTGGAGATCCTAAAATTTTGCTAATAAATGCCCCAATAAGTATAAAAATAAAGGAGTAGCTAAATCCATAATAATTGAGGACATACAGTGTAACATTATAGAGTATCTGATAATGAATCTTGTGTTTTAGTATATAGCATCTATATAGAAGATGAATTAGAAAATTTAGAAATTATAAGTGGCTCTGAAGGTAGGTCAAAAGAATTAGATTTTTCTATTCTCGATACAAAAATGATGAATATAGAACCCCGAATGTGTCCATGAATGGATTAGAGGACAATGATCATTGATGGACAGATGCAAGAATTGTAAAATATACCCAGGACATAAAAATAGGCATCAATGTAAATATTGCCTAGAAATTCAATGTAATGAATGTTTAGGAATTAAAGAAGAAGCTAATAATAATTAGATTAAAGACTATAGTCAAGATATAGAAAAACTAGAAGAAAAGTTAGAAAATACAAACAATAGAATAGATAAAATATATGAAACAATAGGAAAAATACAATATAAGATTAGAAATCTTGAAACGAAAAGAAAACAACATATAGATAATTACACAGAAAACAATTACTTAGAAATAGAATATCAAGAAGAAATAATTTGTCAAATCTCTAGGGTAAAGCCAACCAAAAGTATTAGAATACCCATAGAAATACAAATAAATAAAATGATAAAACTAAACCTAAAAGCCTTGATAGACACAGATTGCACATTTAACATAATTAGAAAAGACTTAGTTTCAGAAGATTGTAGGTAAAAATTAGAATATGAAATAAGAGGAAGTCAAATGGATGGTAGTAAAATGGGATTTGAAGAAAGACTTTTTGACGACTGTAAAATAAAATTTCAAGAAAGACAGTGTAATCTNAATTTGAATACAGAATTTTTGATGACTGTAAAATCAAATTTCAAGAAAGACAGTATAATCTAAGAACTACATTAGTAAGTGAATTAATAAAAGACGAATTTTTTATAGGAATAAAATTCTTATTAAGTAGAAATAGAAATTTAACAATCACCCCTAACGTTATAATTTTCGAAAAACACACTTCTATTATCAACACTATAGATTCATCAGAGTTATAAATCTATCCTAAACTAATTTTATTAGCAATAATCCATTAGTAATCTTTTAATTAATTAGCAAAGTGTATCATTCCGTTGATTTTGGTAGTTCAAGTCACGCAAAATGACGAATGTACTATTCTTTTTTAAATAAACATAAGGAAAAGATAAAAAAAAAAAAAAAGGGAAAAATTGAATTGTGAATGTAGTCCCTAACCTTTTATGGTTGGTGCAATAAGAAAATGAAAGAATAAAAATAAATGAGAATTAACAATAATTTTTTTTCCCCAAAATGAGGCACATAAAAAATTGAAAAATAAAAAAATCCACTTCATCTTTTCCCCTCCATACCACAAAATTTCGCCACCGCCATCGCCACTACTAATGGTATTTTCAATAGTAGTAATGCTAATAAATTGAAAGATTGGGATGTATTGTGGGAATAAAATTGGTTAGAGATAGATTACTGATCTTAAAGGTTCTGGACGAAATGTGCAAGAAATCTTATTTAATTTGTACCATTAGTCACCAATGTGATGTCTTCATAGCAAGTTTGCCTAAACCTTTTAAAAGGGAACAAATTGGTCCTCAACATTTCATCACAATTTCACCATCAATCTCCAACAATGAAAGCTGTCCGAAATTCTGTTAAATAGTCAAATAATTTACATGTCCAACTTTATAAAATGAGATTTTGCTTTTCAATTTGGACTATTGCAACTAGAAGCTTGAAGTGAAACTCGAGTAGAGGCTTAAGAGGCGGCGACCTCAAGACCATAATCTTTTGGGGAGCATGTTTTTCTTTCCTTTTTGGAATAATAAAAATTCATAAAAATTAAGACGCTATTCAAGTGAAAATGAAGTAGAAAAAAATGTTATTTGTAGTCGTTCACTGCAACAATCGTTTTACGTGATATACACATGACAAGTAGTTATTTGATATGAATAAAATTATTCACGGTGTATTAGTAATAGTTCTAGAATTAGTGTGTGTATGTATGAGTTTGACTACAGCCATCATTGGTTTATTTTTATTTATTCTGTAGTCTCTATTCCCTCTGAGCAAATTCCTTCCCAACCTTCAAAATCATACTTTTCAATCACCATTTTTTAGTTCCGTTTACATATTTCGTCATTTTAACATAATTCGGTAGAATTTAATTTTCTTAGACAAGCTATATTCTAAAGGTAGTAAACACCACCTAACCTAATCTTTCAAACTTAAAACTTCCACCAAATTGTGAAACAGTAATGAAAGATTAAAGATCAACTAGCTCTATTTTAAACGTCTGAAATCAAAATTCTACCGAGACAATATATTGAGGACCTTAGAGATGAAATTATCTCTCTCTTATATGTATACTAGTGTTGGCCCGTGCGATGCACGGAATTTCTGATTTTGAAGGCTTCGTTAGCATTGGATATAGAATCTCTATTGAAGTTTAAATATGAGAGAACATTGAATAATTTAGAGATATTTGGAGCAACATATTTTGTCAATAATATGAAGACTTATTTTATGTAATCGAGAGATGA